ATACATTAAAATCAGAATTAAAAAGCTGTATATTATATTATAATTCTGCATTCGACAAAATTCTGAAAGAGAGCGAAGATCTGTGATGGATTTAAATTAGCTGTTTTATCGTTAATAAATCAGCCCTTGAGTAATATTAGTATATAATATTAGTAATATTAGTAATAATATAATTTATAAAAATACTATTGTTATTATATTTTTCTTTAATATAAATTATTCACTTTTATAAAATTAATTTTAAAAAATTTTATTTATCTTCTTATTAAAAAATTTCACGTATTCATATATTGATTTATTAATTTATTAATTCATTATTATTATTATTATTATTATTATTATTGTTATTATTATTGTTATTATTATTATTATTATTACTACTACTACTACTATAACTATTTTCACGGTAACTTGGACACTTGAATAATAAAATATATATAGAATATAAATTTGATTTAAAATTATTATAAAAAACTACAATGCAATCTCAAAGAAATATATTTTCAATATTTTGAAATTGAAATAACAGTTGTAATTTAATTTATGCAACGGTAAACGATATTATAAAAAATGTTAAATTTATAAAAAATATGTGAGACATGATAGATACCAAAAGAATACAAAACTGTATACAATTTATCTTACATTCACGTACGCTCACTTTTCGATAAATGGAAAATATTTAAATGGGAAGCTCGAGTGATAGATATCCTTTGTTGATGAATTTTCATAAATTTCCCTGTTTCCTTATCTTCCTTTCATTTAATAGCGATAGAAATAAATTTATATTCGAAGGATATTTTTTATTCGCTCATATAACTGTATTTACTCATGCAACTCCATTTGGATTAGGACAATGAATGATAAATTAGTATTTTAATAAGTAATATTTAATCCACATCGAAGGAAACGGAAATCGTATCGCAAATCGTATTTGTTCGTGAAATCCAGGTAATGTATATTATACTTAATTAGGACTGCGCGTTAGAAGTAAACACGTGTAAGGCATACCTAGCAGCTTTAAATATAATATAAACAGAACCGTTTTAAATGATAATATCTTTGAATATCTTTCTACTACTAATAAATGGTTTTCGCTCGTTATATAGTCCTTAGTCCTTCCTGAAAATGTTCTGCGGGGTGCAACTCATCAGTGCTAAAGATTGTTAGGCCTGCGTGTACTTAGATGGAGTTGAAAATTATTACACCAGTATTCTTGAAATTCCAGGAAACGGCAAGGAGCATCGATTCCTCGGGGTACGTCCCTGTTTGGCACGTACGGGAAAAACAAAGGTAAATCGTTGGCCCAAGCGCACCAACTTTTTTCGCGCCTCGTGCGTACGCAGTCTGGCTTTGCATTTGCAGTGACTTCCGGCGGAAGTTATTGTTAGCTAAGCTGTATTATGCCAGAAAAGCTAATTTCCCGATTCGATTTTGCACTTCCGTGAATGCGATGAGAGTAGGCCTTTAAGACTCGTTGGTCTCATGAAAAATTGGAACAGTCGATTGAATTTTCGCTCTTGTGAGGCTATTTATTGTCGCATTGTTTTACAAACCGCGCGGAGCATAGTCCAGTTCAATCGGTTAAACTAATTGAATCCAATATTTGTATTATTTTAAATATCAGTGAGGTCGGATTTACGATTTCACTTTTAAAAATTTCCCTTCACCCACGAACCATTCCTTTGACATTTGGTCTTTCTACTTTTGAGATGAGCAATGGTAATATAAGTACTTAATGTGCACATTAGTGACATATGCTTTACGTTTGTTTTCTTTATGCGAGCATATTTGTTGAAAATACAAATTTTAATTGAAGCTAAAGCAAGCAAATATACGTAATATTAATATAACAGTGTTAAAGTTCTTGCACGATAAAATATTTTGTAATTTGCATTTACGGATCAAATTTCAATAATAAAATTTTTATTAACTGTTTTTATAAACCATAAATTCTTAAATTTTTTGTTTGTTTGTTTGTTTGTTTGTTTGTTTTTTTTTTTTTTATTTATTTGAAGCCTCTTTGTTCCAAATCTAGGGACATATTATACGTGATATTATTAGAAAATAATATTTTTAAAAAATTTATTACTATTGTTATTCTTTAAAATAATGACAACGCACAGTTAAAAACTTAAGAATCTTGGAAATACTGAGGGATTATGTTCTTTTGATGGTTTTTGAAGTATTCGCTAGAAATGCATCAGGTGGTTAAAAATATTTTTGTATGCTTCTAATATTATTTAACTATATTGAAGTGATTTAGAAACTCGTATAAAACCATAAAATTAATTAAAATGACTTTGAAATTTATTTTTTAATAAATGTTATTTTTTAATTAATAAAGAGTTTAAAAGACATAAACAATTATTTTTAAAATAAAAAGATGTCTATAATATATTTTCATTTATGCATAAATTATTTATGTTGATAATTACTGAGTTTCAAATAGTGACATTTTAAACAATTTGAATTGTGAAAAAGGTGTAATAAAATATTGATAAATTATATTATCATATAAGTATCAAAAAGAATTGTTAAATTTACATTTCTGCCATCATCCATCCATATGGCATTAAATTTTTTTTTTTTTTTTAACCATTAATTATCGAAGAATTGATAATATTCTCAATTTAAATATAAAAAATTTACGATTAAAAAATAAAATTAAAAATTAAAAAATAAGAGAATATATGAATCGTTGCAAATGCCATAGATTGCTTTAATTTAATAGTATAATTTTCATTTAATTATAGTAAAGAATATTGGCTTTTACATAATACTTTATATTTAATTAAATTTGTAATAAAAATAGTTATGAAAAAAAATATTTACCAAAAAAATTATTGATCTATTTCATTCAATTTTTTTTTTTAATCGTATCATAATAAAGAAATAATTAATTTAAATTCTCAGCCAATTTCAACATTATTTTCATTAGAGTGAATTGCCGATTCATTACGGTACATCGTCTGGTAAAAATAATTTTTGTTATTATTACGAATTAACAATTTTTTTTATTCTCTTTTTTGTAAAAATCGATATACTACATGCCTATATATTATATAAAAATATTATATGTTTATATTTTATGTAAAAATATTATATATATATATATATATATATATATATATATAAACATTGTTTAATGTATATTATCTGTATTAATATAATTATATTAATATATATGTATTTGGAGCAAACAAGATCATAAGGATTTTTGAAATACATCGTTGATTATACGTAAAAAATATATATGAAATTTTTATTAATTTATTAATTTATTAATTAATCTATTAAGTTTATTGTTAACGAATATTTTGATCATTTTTATAATGAGTACAGAATACTGCTTGTAGAACGTTATTCAGAAGTTTCAAATGTTTAAATAAAAAAGGAACGGAAATATTAACTTGTGAAAAAGGCAAAATAACGTGAAGCCCACAAACTTGAAAATAATTGCAAACAATAATGTATTATACGTGACCATACACTTTTCTTTCTCTCTTGAGCAATGTTTTTCACCAAATGGCTTTGCTTACAGGATAGCGCTTCGTTCCACATGCAAATTGCCAACAATAAGGAATTGGGTAAGATCTCAATACATCCGGCGCGGAGTATATCCTTAAAGCGCACTTAGCCAGTCAGTAAACATGGAGCCAGAGTGACAAGTAAATAATCGGAGTCTTGCACCAATGCCTCTTCTTTAGGAGCCTGTTGCATTTAAATGTCGAGGGATCCTAGTGGACGTTCAAGAAAGCCGATCCCTCGGAGTTCCAGGCTTCTTGTAGCATCCGCTCGCTTATCTATAACGAGAAGCAAAGGGAATAATGTCGCGGCTCCCGTACGCACGTATCAACGACTACCGGCCCCTTTCCCCTTTCTCCGCTCCGTCGTTTTATCGCTCGGAGAGAGCCAATTTTCTCCCCGAGTCTGCAAGCGAGTCGCGCACTATTAACGCGGGTGGAGCCTCAGGGTGAATGCCACGATAAGTGCCCCTGCGCGTGTACTCGGGACACACGAGTGTGAATTTGGCTTGGCACGCACGACGCCTATTAATCGAATGGGCAAGTTATTTTATTGTTTTATTTGAATTTTGTTCTTTCAGGCGATAAGCAAGATCGCGATGTCAGAATAAGATTAAGGGTCTTTACGCTTTAGATAAGGCTTGGTTTAGATAAAGTACATCTGTTATTGTCCGCGTGTAGTGCTCCTAAGAATTGTAATTAAATTTATTGACAATCGAGTTAATTTCGTAGAATGAAAAACGTTAATCGTCTCGATGATAAGATATATGGCTATGTAAACACAAAAATTTTACTATCCTCAATGTCTCACAAAGTGTGTAGTTTCATTTGTAAAATAAATTTTGAATAGCTATTGTGCTATTATCGAAGTTGGTCCAAGATGTTGGAAACTCCATTATTGTCAAATGTATTCGGTAATATTCCAGCAATATTTATTTTTGTTGTTTTTTTAATATTGTTTTATAAAGTTGTAAGATGCGAGAGAAATTACTTGGTCTGTTAACGTTAATCAAGAACATTATCGATCCTCCGTGCTTTTTATTAGTATATTTAGTAAATGCATAAATATGAATAATATAAACCTTTATTGGATTATCGAAAATTACCGACTGATTTATTTATCTTTCCGAATCAATTCAATTAAAGGCAAGTATATTCAAGGAAGCCTCAAATATACTTTAGCGCACATCATTACGAGTAAATCTTCTTAATCGTTTAAAGCATGTTACACTCGTTAATTGACGCATAATTTTCTAAGGAAGATTTTTGAAATTTTTTTGTCTCCTAATTCTACATTGCATTATCTTAATTTTATTACAGCCTAGAAAAAATCACTACAAAAAAACATTAAATATTCTTTTAGACTTAGGTTGTGATCATTATAAATTAAATTAAAAAAAAAAAGACTAATGTTTATGATACTTGATAAATTTGCTCGTTCACATAACATTTGACATTGTCGAAGAGGTTGCGAAGAGGTTGCGAAGAGGTGCGACATGTAGATTGATTATTGATTTTTCCCGTATACGCGTCGATCGAGCATTTAAAAACTCTGGCAGTGGCGCAACGGCAACATTAGTGCATTGGGCAACGAGAAGTAACGGATAAATGTGGAGATGCTCGACGCGTGAAGGACGGCGCGCAGGATCAAGCAAACGCGCCTCAGAGAAAGGGAAAATCGTGAGAAAAAACGAGGCTCGATCCACTCGTATCGGCCGGCGCCATTATTCGAGACCTCACTAGTCGTTCATACGTGGGTTGGGCAAACGACTTCCGCCTCTGCTTCCACATGAGCTCCTCCACTTTCATCTGCTCGCACTCGGACATCTCCTCGAATTTCCGCGTGCAATCGATCCTGCTGAGCTCGATGAGCGGCTCGTCCTCCAAGAGCGACTCCCACCAACGTTCATTCGCCTTTTCCAGATGTAGCTACAACAGCCGTTACAGTACGCTGAGCTTTTGAGCTTCGCAGTGGAGATATAATTTTGACAAAATTAAGGGGATGAGCACAGAAGAGCGTAAGGCTACATTAAATTGGAGCTTCTTAAATCGGCTCTACTCGTTTTATAAGCAGATGAATAATTTTGAACGAGGGAAGATAGGTTCCTAGTGAGCTCTACTGGATCAGATTTATTTATTCATTTTATGGTTAAGATGATGGTAAATTCGATATTCGAGATACTTGAAAAGTAGCTTCTTAAACGTATATTAGCTTACTTAAAACGTTTAAGCTATCAAAAATCTTTCCAAGGATTTCTGCTTTAGCAATTATAAATATAATCCACCCATGTTTGGATTTTAAATTGTCGTAAAAAAAAATTAGAAAGTAAGTGCAAAAAAAAAAATCAATATATAAATATGTTGTGTGTGTGTGTGTGTGTGTGTGTGTAGAGAGAGAGGGAGAGAGAGAGAGAGAGAGAGAGAGAGAGAAAGAGTTCAAAATAATAAAATTAATAAATAACTCTAAATTATGTTAATTTTTTTTATTTTAATATGGCGCAATACATCAACTTTCTTTGTCAAAGTCCCATTATTATGTTCCCATTTTTATGTTCTGAAATTATTGCAGATTGAAAATAATGATAATAGAAAATCTTGATAATATACGGACAGGTGTAATACATGCTTCATATATTCTCAAAAGTTCTTCGCTCAACACTTAATTCATATTTATCCGAAAATGCAACCTTTTCGGCTAACAATCTCTTATCACGCATTAATTCTCAATACCGAAAGGAGTTATACAATATTTCCTAACACGTATGCTCAAATTTGTTTACAATATACATCGACATTATCTACATTTTTGTCTCGTAGCATTAAGGAAGCTTGAGTATTCAAACAGCCTTTGGAGCCTTTCTAACCGAATAAGCATTAACCCGTTAGCTCTCGCGTAAATGAGAGTTGCACATTATAAGCTGAGACATAAATAGCTACGAGAGGAAAGCCGAGGGAAATAGTTCGACTTACGGTGAGGTGTTTGCCAGGATCGAGATACCAGTAGGATTCGCCGCTCTTGGTCTTAAACGAGAGTCGTCCCTTAACCAGTGTCAGACTGTCGTTAACGCCAAGTTTCGTCACTTCGATTTCATGACTGTCGAGGACGACGCGTAGCTGTTTTGAATTACGCACTTCCCAGGGTACGGGCACGAGAACATCAAGGTCGACAATCGATTGACTCCAGCTGTAGCTTTTGCAGGAGGCGCCGTTGTAATAATCAGACGTATTGGTATCCTTGGTCCATGGCTCCTCCACGACATTCGTCTGTACATTCATTTATTCTTAAGCAACTGGCAATTATCTGCCTCATCAATCATTCGGCATCTGAGTTTGACTATTTTAAGGTAAATCGATTGCCTCGATCTATGAGCAATGGCTATTGACTCTATTGATTTTAATCTGAGTATGTCAGCTTTCTTTATGTCTATTAAGTGACGTTATTTCAGATTGGCAATGAATGAAAAATTCAACGGTGTGGCTAGTTTGGTAAATTTTTAATATTGACTCGTGTTTATTTAATGTAATAAGTATTGCTAATATTGAGCATTTAAATACAAAAAGTCATCTGCGCTTCCTATTGTTAAGATTCTTTGCAATGTCCATGTGAAATTATTTGTAATTTCATATATATATATATATATATATATATATATATTAAAACCTTAACGCATTTGTTCTAAAAATCGGAAATATATATTTAGCTATGAAACGAGTGATTATTTAGTCATTAAAAATTGTTGACTTTGGCATTTAAAATTGCTTTCACATTCAATTTTGAAATAGAAAGGATGACATTAAATTAGATATTCATATTTAAACATGAATCTTTTGTAATATTTGCGCATCGTTAACTCATATATTCCAATCAATTTTAATATTTATATCTTTATAATTATCTTCATATAAAAATTAATATTCTTTAAAATTAAAATACTATAACATAACGCAAACGAGCAATTCTCAAGCATGTAAATTTAAACATTTAATTCAATATTTAAAAAATTAAGCAACAATTAAAGTAAATATAAAATACATTTATATTATAAAAACAAGCCCTAAATATTATTAATCATTTCTTTCAAAAAAAAAAAAAAAAATTCGCACAAGCTGACGTATAAGGCGTAAAGTGATTATAAAATTATGTATGTATGTAAATTGTGTATTATTGCAATATAATATAAAGTTTATAATATAAAAACTGTCCAATATAAATAAGATGTCCTATACCATAAGAATGCACATAAATGAATATTACCGAGTCCATTCTGTCTTAATGAATTATTTTTTATTAATTCGAATCATATTATTTTAATTAAAAATTCAGCGATTTTTTAATGTAATTAACATAATTTCCATACCATAGAGTATTGGTCGGCTACTTATCAATTCACTTTAATTTAAATTAAAATAATAGTATGCTCATACAAGTTCTAGTACAAAACTATTCAATCTGTTTTCTTTTGTTTTTTTTTTTTGTTTTTTTTTTGTTTTTTTGTTTTTGTTTTTCTTTTTATATATAAATTTTATTGTTAAACATATTTAATTGTCGACTTAAAAACTAAAAGTTCGTTGCGAATAAGCAATTGCAGATTTAGATGGATAAAACGATATAAAAGTCGTGTTAATTTCTAAACCAAATTTGATCGACGATATTACAAAGTTTATAACTAATATTAATTAAAAATACATTATTGAACTATCAGGAATTGATTCATAGCATATAAATGAAAATTAACTTTCACTCGCTTGATAATTCGTTCAATAGTAACCTTTCAATTTACATCATATAAGTTTTCATTTCTCTACATTTCTATACGTAACGACTCGTGGCTTTCAAATTTCTAGTTTGTTGCTACGGTCATTTTCAATCGGGAGAACTTAATGGCTACGTCAGAATATTTTAATTTCTTATGGCCCAAAGAACCACGGTTGATGCTGAGCTATTTTCAAATATTCTTAGCTTTTTATTTTATTTTTCTTGGCATTTTACCGTCTCATTTGATACTAAATTTTTTTTTTGCCATTAGATTTTATATCTATTGAAAATAATTCATTTTTACATTACTACAAATTGTACACTATGATAAAAGTGACTAGATTATTTAATAAATTGCTTAAAAAAAAAAAAAAAATATATATATATATATATGTATACTATGATGGTTCTATTCAGAAAATGTACACATACTTATACATATTGAATTATTGATGCATCATTTAAATGATGTAGATTTGACGTACGATTTGTTTGAAATGAATTTTGTGTTAATGTATGTATGGTCAGCTCTTAACTATATGACCCATAATCTATTATCTATAAAAAATACAATATGGTAATTTCAATGGTATTTTAAGGATATTACATATATAAATATTATTATGCCTTAAAACGTTTCTATGAATGAAATATAAGTGAAATGGCCAGATTCTTATTTTTAATATCAAATAGGCATTTGCGATAGTATCTGATACATTAAACGTTAAATTATTAACTTCTAAATGTGTAAAATTTTATTTTTAAACAAGACAAATTAATTATTACAAAGATTAATAACCTTTTAATAAATAATTAATAAATTATTAATATTTAAATTTTTTTAATTAATATTTCCAAAATATTTTTTGCCACATCCGATCTGATGTATTATGGAAAAAGATAATATGATAAATATTGAATAAGAGCGATTATATTTAATAAAATATATATTAAATTAATACCCGTGTAAAAATAACTGTTATATTTTTTTAAAATATTAAGCAAGTATATTGTTATTATTAAATTGCTTTATTTATTATTAAAATGAATTAAGAGCAAAAATAAAACAAAAAAAAAATTATTCAATGAAACTTAGGAGTATGAAAAGAATGTCAAGAGAAGATAAAATCAATCAGGATAATCATCATGACTTAGTATAGAGCTTTTCATTTTAATATATTTATTACAATGTGAGAAAATGATGAATTCTTTTATTTGTGCAATAATAATTGCTATTATTTAGCTAAGCATTGATTGTCATATTAACATCTTTATGTGTAATTATTTATTTTCGTTAAAATTACTAAGTTAGACAAAAGTTTAGTCTTGAACAAAATGGCAATGTTATCTTACGTTTTCAGAATTGTCATTTGTAAAATCCGACTTGCTATTTTTTGCGTTCTCGACGTTGGTAGTTGACATTTCCTCGATGTTTACTGGATTTTCAGTTTCCACTACAGGTGCTTTTGTAATAATATTTTTCCAGTTTCGGAAAGTACTGATAACAAGATCTTCCGCAACTCCCGGCAAAAACCCAAGTCGTTGTTCCGGAGAAGATTCAACATAAAAATCAGTACTGCAATTATGAATATTCTTGAATTTTATATTTTATTATTTATTTGTTTACTTAATCCATAAATAATAATTTAGTAGTAATTTCATAAGCTCGATGAAAATAAAATTTTTTTATTAACAGACCATAGAATCAGTGATTTTGTAAAATGGATGTAATCGTAATATGACACGATTCGAGCTATTTAATAGAACATATGGTAAAATTGAAATAAAAATGAATTTATTTATTGTTGACTAATGAAAGGTAACACTTAATTTGATGTGAGATAACTATTTTATTACAGTTATTTAACAATTACTATTAAAATTTGTTGAATATATATACATACATATATATATATATGTTAAGCATATACACATATACATTTTATGTACATCTGGAAAATTGTTTTTTTATGCCAATGAATATTTATTAACTTAACCTATCTTTATTTACGTATAAATCCAAATAAGTGAAAAGAAAAGTACTGAAAAGACCAAACAAATGTACGCGTTTAAATAGCAAATAAAAAAGATAAACATATTAATGACTAAATTTTTTAATTGAAACGGATAAAATAGTTATACGTTTTTTATATTTTCTATATTTATAATATATACAACTTTTTTTCATGCTGTTTTCACATAGAACAAAAAAAAACACTTTAATTTATGATTATACTTAATTTTTATTAACTACTTTACAAATTCGTATTGTTCTGTCATTACTTACCAACGATAAAGGAATCCGAAAAATGAATCTAGAAATTTTGATATATTCTTATCCTGTCGAAGGATTTCCAAAAATACTGGATCATGTTTTGAATTCATTAAAAATTATTGAATTTCAAGATTCGATACAAAGGCAAAATTGTGTCATCTGCTGACATCGTCTATTAATGTTTATAAAAATAATTTTCCATGATAGAGATGCAGGAACACATTCATTTTCTTTCCCATTTTGCCCCCACCATTAGCCTTAGCAACGAATCTTTCATTTGGGCCTCCATTTTCCTATTCCGAATAATCAAATGATAATTATCAAATGATAATTTTCCTTACCATATGAAAATTGTCTAATAATCATTTATTTTAATTATCAATTTGCCGTATGTATCTGTGATAAATAATGCAATAATAAAATATGACTACTTTCTACGAATTTATTTTTAATATGAAAATTGAAAAGTTTTTAAACTGCTTTTCTATTATAAAAAACTTTATATTCCTTTGTTATCACGATTTCATGGCTTATTATACAATTACTTTATTAAATAAAATTATATTTAGTTTACATAAAATATAATTTACTTAATAAAGCAGTTAAAGCTAAAAAATCAAACTTATTACTTCTAGATTGTGAGTCGATTTTCATTTCTTTTATATATATATATATATATATATATTGTTTATAGTAAAGAATATAGAATTTTTTTTATGAATTTTAAGCAGTGTCGTATACATACTAGGAATCGTTTTTCCGACAATTGTTGACAAACATTCTTCTTGACCTTCTTGGCACTTACTATAGGCAAAGTATGCTTTTTTTTTTAATAGTCAAAGAATACAAATATCAACAACAAATATTGACTTGTATTAAATAAATATGCAAACAGAAAAATTCTTAATGATTATGCTAAAGATAAAACAAGAGATATATGTATTAAGAAATTTTGTGTTTTAATAATTGTGCTCATTATATGAACAAGAAATATTTTAATTTCATGGAACTTTTTAGATATGAAATTATAGCTATTATATCGCAGAATTCAGAGTTAAATTTTGTTTTTAAACTTTTTATAAATTTAACTAAAAATTTTCGAGCGTTTATGAATAATAAAAGAGAATTTATTGCATTTACATGCATGTAACAGAAGAGACATTTCTCATTATCAGAATGTGATGAGAATGAGAAAGTTAAATCATAAATGACCGAATATATAAAAAAATTATCTTATACAAATATAAAATTGAGAATTTTTTTCTTCTTTTTTTTTCCTTTTTTTTTCCTTTTTTTTTTTTTTGTACAATTAGGTAGATGGATTTGGTATAGAACAGTTTAATTTTATCGTTCGTTAAAATTTCCTGAATTAAAATATTTTTGATTATTCGAATGTAATGAGAATATCGAATAAGATAATCTATAGTAATATTAATTAATTATTATAATAATGAAGTATAAAAAATATTTGCTTTATTTTCGATACCTTTTATTTTGCAAATTACAATAATATATACATAATGGTACAATTCAAAATACACAAATGTATACGATAAAGTGAAATTAAATAATTTATATGCATGATTAAAAATAGAATACAAACAATAAATATTTACTATACTTTCGTAACAGTTTCATAAATCCCTGATTTAGAATCTTCTTGCATAGGAAACTTTCTTAAATACTATGTGTATATAATACTTATGGATATATAAATATAGAATAAATCTGAGACGGATTCATTACGTGATTCTCACGTTTTAAATATCAACAGCGCTTGTATTATTTATTTTTCAGTATTATTAATAATTCTTTTACTATTTGTTGTAATAAGCAACGTTTAAATTTATTATTTTGCTAAAATTATTATTTAAGCTAAAGTGAGAACAACAAAAATAACGTCAGTTTAATAAAGCCGATGATTGATAAATACAAGAAAATATTCACGTTTTCATTTCATGACAAATGCTTACTTAATAGGAGGTCGGATCTGCTATAGTTTTTCTAATGATAATTTTCATATATTTGCAAAGTATTAAAATATATGTTGCTAATATTTATTACGCCTAGAAATATAACAATTTGTGGTAGTTATTATCACTATTTAAGCTATGCTACTGTCAAATAATGGACATTTTTATTTGTATATTCTACATTATTAGAGGTAGTTATTCATATTTGCATTCATTGTTTACAAAATATTAAATTCATAATAATGATAAATAATCACATAAATTACAAATATTAATAATGATGTTGATTAAACGCAAATCTGTCTGGCTTGTATGGTAACTCATTCATATAGATTTTTTTTACTTATTCATATAAATATGAAATAATAATCTATCGAAATAATTAATATTATTAAATACCAAAGACAATCGTAACGATGTCATCCTATTTTATAAATTCATTTCTACAAATTATTTCAATTAAAAATATGTATATTTTAATTTTAATTTATTTCTAATCATATTTTGAACAATGATACTTTTAATGCTATAAGATTTATAATGTTTTACAATTGCATAAATGTTTTGAATTCTCATTAGGCTCAATCAAAATATTTCACGGTCTAGATTATTATTTCACTTATGTATCCACTCTATTCTTTATCTTGTTAAAAATATTTTTAATATCAATTTTACGACACGCCTCGTCATTTCCACATGAAAATAACAATTAAATCGCCTTCGAAGGGCATAAGTACCTATAATCTATTGACAAATGATCGAATATATTAGAGTGGTTGAAGTTGAGCGTAAAGAAAAAAACGCTACACATTTGAAAATATCAAATGTCTTCACAGTTCATGGTACTTCCAACCGGTAAATCGACTACATGTATAGAATTATAGAATAGTTTTAGGATATCATTGATCGATGTAGAGGAGAAAGCTTCGACTAGAGCTTTGTTACTTTCATATTTTTAAGCACAATTTATTCGTTTACATCATATATAATGTTTTATACATTTATTATGAATTATATGATCTGCAAAATAAAGCGTTAGGGTAAATAGCTTGATACGACCTCCTTTTAAGGCTTACATAGTGATTAATTAATATTAAATACATAGATCATATGGGAAAATACATATTAGTTTGTCTGTCAAATGAAAACTAGCATGCATATTTATAAATAAGAAGGCGAAGGTTCTTGAGATTAATGTGATATAATTCCCTATTATTTAAAATTATTTAGAATAGCTTTACAAACATGAAAAATAAAAAATTTTCTCTCCTTTTTTTTTTTTTTTTTTTTTTTTTTTTTTTTTTTTTTTTTTTTTTTTGATAATTATAATTATTATGAATACATAGTTAAAAATAAAATTTATAATATAATTTACTATTACTATTTAGATAAAATAATTTAAAACAGTAAACGATGCTCCATTTATCTTTTTATTTGATTAGTGTTTGCATACGTCTATAAATAAACAGTATGGACTAGTTTAGTTGGGGGGGGGGGGTGTGTGAA